GGCTTGTTGCGTTAACATATGCAGTTTGTTTGGCGTTCTTGCTGCACTTCCCTCTTTTCTACGTTGCCCAAATGGTTTTCCAAATGATTTATTGCGATTTCTCGGGGGATTTTTTTGGGGTTTTCTTACATGCTCTAACTATTACACATTTCTAGTAGTTAGAAACACAGGCGGTTCCAGGGCGGTCTCCTTCCTGGTGAAGGGGGGCAATTTTTCTCCCCCTCTCTCCCTTCTTTAATACATCCGCCTCCCCCCTCTCTCAACCATCTCGCTACCCACTCCTCGATTGTCCTACTATCTTCCCCCACCCTGCCCGCTAGTCGTCCCTAAACTGCGACGACCCGGAGGGGGTCACACGGGATATCAAACAGATCTTCCTACAGTAAAACAGCTGTTACCTGAGCCCCTGGGAAGGAGGGAAGAGGAGGGGGATAGATTAGAAAATATATAAAAATAGAACTGGCTACTCCCTCCTTTCTCGAATTATTGTTTGTAGCGCGAAAAATGGCGATATTTCTTCTGTCGTCTCGGATTAATATCCAAGTCAGTTCCAGGGATGTCGCAGGATTCGTCGAGCGCTAGTCGTTCGCCTCGTTCCGGGCGACGTCTTTTTTCCTCCTCCTCGGAGAGTTCCACAAGTTCGCAGCACTCCACCGCTCGTGATCTGGCGCCGGAAAGTCCTGGTGCTGCACTGGGACAAGCTTCTGATGGACAGCAGGAATCTTCCGGTTCGCGTCATCAGAGCCCACTTTCGGCGCCCTCATCTCAGGAATCGCTATCTCAGCAACAACAGATCATCGGTATGTTAACGTGAAATGTTTTTTTTTTTAACGTTCTGCTGCTATGTAAAGGGGTAAATGCTATCTGAGGGTGAATAGATCGGCACATGACGAGTTCCTCTTAAGCTCTTCTCCTACATTACTTATGCGTTATCAACTTTCCCAAATGGTGATTTGGGGGCTGCACTGACGATTCCCACTCCAGTCCACACCGAATACTGTCTGTGTTTGCAGCTTAGGGACAGCCAAGTTTACATTCAGCCTTCCCACAGACCCTCATTGCATCTCCTGAACATTTTTTCACAACATACGCTGTTCCACTATCTCTTTTCACTTCTTGCTTCCGTGGTCTTTCCTTTCATTCCAAAAGTCAAAATCGTTTTAGCATAGGCGGAGTAGGAGGGATTCCTGAGGTGGGGGAGAGGGGAAGGAGGGAGCAGGGGAGCGAAAGGGGTTGGGGTGGCGGGATTGCCAAAAATCAAAACCAGTTTTAGCGTGGGCCGATTCAGGATGGACTCCTGAGGAGAAGGGGCGGGGGAGGAGGGAGAGAGGGGAAAGGAACGGCGGGGATGGGGAGGAGGTGAGAGTGGGCGATGAAAGTTTTCCCCGATAATCTCTGAAGCTTTTGCAAATTACTTTTAAAACTGTTGTTAATTGGTGCTGCTTGTGTTTTCCTATAACCTTCGGATTTAGACTGCTACAGCTATGGAAAACCTAGGTGGTCCGCGCACCAATGAACAGAGTCAGGCCCCCCTCCCCGCCTAGCCCCAGCGGCACTGATGTCTGTGCCGCTGGGGCT